GGGGAGGGGGGGGGTAGGGCAGCGCGCGCATTCCAGCGGCTCCAGCGCTCCTCCAGGCCGGCCGCTCCAGGCCGCTCCAGGCCGCTCCCCCCACCACGCAGCCACGCGACCGGGCAGGTGTACGCCGCTGCGCCAGGCTCCGCCAGGCCGTCCGTCCGGTCCGCCCGCCTCGCTGGCCAGCTCCAGCGGCAGCCTCCAGAGCCGCGCCGCCCGCCGCGCCGCTTTAGCCTCGCTCCACGCAGCGCACGGCTACGGCTCCAGATACACCCCGCCCAGACAGCTTCCAGGCCCATGACCTTAACAAGGGTTATAACTAAGGCTGCAGATTCCAGATACCCATCTTTAGCAGCCTGCAAGCCCGGGACTTTAGACACCCCGTCCCAGGATCTTCCAGGTAGCATATCTTCCTCTATCCGGAAGCTGCTGAACATCCCACTCTTGCAGCCCCCAGGTAGCACAATATCGAGTTGCCTCCAGACACCGTGAAACAAGAGGCCCTACCTCTGTCCTGCTAGTAGAGATGAGCGAACGTGTTTGCATTCGATCCAACTCGACCGAAGCGAAAAGAAAGCTATTGTGATCGTTTGAACTTCAACTCAAGGCGCTCGTGAACTGCTCGAACAGATGTTTACATGCAAAGAATTGCAGCCAGTGTTAAGCTGAGGCTGGGGACCATCTAGCTCGCTTTGATTCAAAATATCAGCGCTACGGCAGAGGAAACAAAATGTTGGTAGGGGGTTTCTCCGGGTTTCTCGATTTATTTGGTTTGGTTTTCAATCGGTTTTCAATGATCCCACAAGAAGTAGCGGTAGCATTATCCCTCGCTCCGAACGGCGACCGTTTCTCGCGTCCCGTGACTCTGTTCGACACCAGTTGCGTGCTGCGGCCCGGCCAGCCGGGGCCCTGGCGCTGCGGTAGGTGTGTACACCGGGCATCCTCCGGAGCGGCTGACCGCTGGGGATAAAGGTTAAAGCTCTGCTGCCGCCGCAGCGCCAGCGTCAGCCATCCCGGCCGGGACGACGGTCTTCTGGACGTCTGATCGAGGCGACCCTGCCATTAGGAGCCAGCGGAGCGTGGTGTCCGGGGCCCGACGTGTCCCCGGTGGCGGGATCTGCTCACCTGGGGCGTGGCAGGGCGGGCGGGGCGGGGCGGGGCGGGGCCTGGCGGGGCGGGGCAGTCACCGCCCTCCTGACGCACCTCCATCGTATGAAGGAACGCCACGGCGTGTGTCGCACATTTTAGCAAATTAACAGTTAAGACTGTGAAAAATATACCTTAACCTTCATTAATTTAAGATTTTAGAGGTTCCCCAAGAATGTCTCTAGGAAGGCAGAGTGCGCCCTTCCTCTTTTTCTCTCCTTGATTTTTACCCTGTAGGTAATTTTTTGTGGTCTTCTTGATTTTGCACTTTTCATGTCGTTGACGCGAGTGTTCTCATGCACCTAATAATTATTAGAAAAATACAATTTCATGGGTACAGCAGGGAACGGGGAAGGGGGCACACCACATTCTTGGCGAAAGGAAGTAGCCGCCGCAACCTGCTGTAAGCGATACTGACGGCGGATTGCGCGAAGCTCGCTTCGAGATATCGATCTATCGATGAGAAAAGGCGTTGATGCAGCCAACACGCCCGCCCGTGCGTGCTCGCAGAATGAGACGGCGAACAGGCTGAGGGGATGTTGCCCCCTTGTGTTAACTGTCTCCCGTTGCGTTTCATTTATGTTGTGTTTCAGCCGTGACGATCTGATGTTGTGTGTTACGGTGCGTGTGGTGTGGTGTGTTGTTGGCTTCGCTTCGATAAGCTGCCGTTTCAGGTGAAGGGTACCTCCTCAATGCTGCAGTTTTCTAGAATTTATTTTGGGTCAGCAGTTCTTTGCAACATCTGACCTGATACGACAAATCGACTTTCAGTGCTACTCCGGCCTACTTGTTCATATGAGAAACAAGAACAAGAACAACAACAACAACAACAACAACAACAACAACAACAACAAGGGGACGGAGAGAGTCCATCGCATTGTGCTGCAGACCCATTCCATTTTCAGAGAGGAAATCAACGAAACACTCGGTAGACCAGCGGGGCTTTGGGTGGAGCGGGACGAGGCGAGGCGGGGGTGCGGGCGGAGATAGGTCTTTGTGAGTCAGTGGTGATTAATACCGTTCAGAACGCGGTACCCGCTCTCGACCTGACGGCGCCCGTTTGTGTTCCAGTGTTATTTCAAATAAACGGAAAAGGGCCAGTGTGACATTGAAATATCTCCGCGGGCGCACACTGCTGTGTCCGAGTCGCATCTGTCCCGCCCCCAGGGGCGTAGCCAGAGTGATAGCGGGGAGGGAGATAGAGAGAGCACCGTCAAAAACAACACCAAAAAGAGTAGGTCGCTGTATTTTTTTTTAGTTTACTGCCCATAAGACTCCATGTAAGATGCATGTGTACTTCAAACAAAAAAATATGTTAACCTTGCCTAGTATAGTTTGAGCAGGTAAGGACTTGGCCAGTGCGTGCGCTGCTATTTTCTGGCAGAGAGAGAAAGAGAGAGAGAGAATAGGGGGGGGGAGAAGGGGGGGCGCTGCGCTGGACCGCGTCTCGCTGGTTCGTGCCTACGCCGCTGGCCGTATGTACTGCATGGCAATGGCTTTATAAGCCGCCTGGTCTGGCTGGGCCGGCCGGCCCGACGGGTAGGATACGCCTACCGACGCAGAGGTGGCCTCCTGTTAATGGGATGCTAGTGGTAATGACAGCCTTTCCACAAACTGGGGGCTCTCCGGCTGCACCAGCGCCGCGCGCAGCGCAGCAGCAGCTCAGCAGCCCGGCAGGAAGAAAGGGAAAAAATGTAAACTGGTTCACTGCTGTAATCTTCTTTGCTGCGCTGCTCCTGGCGCTGGCGGTAATGTGTGGTATATATAAAGCGCGGTATAATCGAGCGGGGAGTCGTCAAAACAATAACGAAGCAAGCCGCGGCGGCGCAGCGCGCAGCGCGCCCACACGGCCGAATCATATTAACGACAGTCGTAGTTTTACGCGGGGCTTATTACATTCTTCCGTTTGGTCGGCGTAAAGTAGCCGCTGCGCGATTATAAAACTGCGCGGAGAGGAGGAGGACGCCCTCGGGAACGCCCGCAGATGATAGACTTAACACCGCCTTTGCAGTCGAAAACGACTTTTAAATTTGTACAAAATATTACGTGTCCCCTGTACCTACTCCCGACAGTTTCAGCAAGCGCGAGCTGTGATAGCGCCTGCTGAGTAGGCAACATCTTGCCAGGAGCGCATGAGTGTACTGCGGGGTGGCCTACCCCAAGTCTCGCTGGCGCCGAGCTCACACTAACTTCAATTGCCGATTGAATCTGAGAAGAACTGACCTTCTTTTCGGACGCTTCCAAGAAGTGCAAGTACTCGGCGCAACTTTCAGTTAGGCTGTGAAGTCAAAGGAGAGGATATGTGACTTATTCCCCAAATTGAGTTACGTAGGGCACCATGTAGTTAGTACATTGCAGTCTGCATCTGTCCACCAAAGAGCTAGGGGATATCTCATAAGGTGGGGGATATCTGAGATTGTAAAAGAAGTTAAGTCGACTAATCCTCTTTTACCAAGACTTTACCAAATACCTTACCAATACTTTACCATGCAAAAAGAGGTAAGTCGACTTATCTCAAAAGTCATTAAAATTTCAACCGAGCAAAAAGAGTTGACCGAGGGGGAAATCACTTGCGCAATTGTTCGTACACCTTCCCCCGAAATAGTCCGAAATACAGGCGAAATAGTCGGTGAAATAGTCGCGAAATACCCAATACCCCTGAAATACTCCGAAATACCGCGAAATACCCTAAAATAATCCGAAATAGGCGAGAAATAACCGAAATGGCAGGAGAAATACTCGAGAAATACCAGAAATAGCCAGTATGCTACGGACCCAAGTGATTTCCCCCTCGTAGTTGACCCTTTTTGATACCAAAGTTTGTGAAAGTTAACTTCACTTATCCCCTTTTGCACAATTTTTTTGTTGACGTTTTGTCAAACCAAGCACGTTTTCACTACAGAACGGCGATTCATCCTTTCTCGTCAAGCTAGAACGAACAATAAACCTAACCCAGTCAGTAAAATGTAGCTTTAAAAGGAGATGCTTATGCAGTGAATACCCAGGGTAAAAAAACCATGATTGTCATGGTCAAATTGAGATTTTGACCATGGGAAACCAAGATTTTAATCATGGACATTGCCTAGACCATGGTGATCACCTATGCCCATCTCCCCAG